AAGAGTGACCCAACCTATCTGTGACAGCAGAACATCAGGTCTAAAGCAGAATACCAGATTGCTTCAGTCCCTGCTCAGTTAAATACAGAAATGCAGTGAGGAATGGGGATGGATTGGATGGGGAAGTAGGAGACAGGAACTCAGCAGAAAGCAAAAGTAATCAGGGCTAATTATCCTAGGCAGTCTCCTAGAGAGTAGTTTTAGAATACCTCACCTGCATTCATGAAGCACTTCACCTTCAAAAGGTGAAAGTGCTTGTAAAGCACCCTGAGAATGAAGAGACCTTCCCTATGTACTGAACTTTGATAGAAATGTGAAATAGTTCAAAACAAAGGCAACACGCCAAGACCAAATTAAAATTTTCTCCTACAGTGTATTACTGACAGTACTTGGTGGATGAAATCCTGTGAAGAATTTGATGCTGTGCATAATTACCAGAACTCTCCTGGCATCTTCCCAGCACATTTGTTAGATGAACCCGAAAAGCCTGGAGTAGTGGACTACCAACTTTGAGAAGAAGACATTAGAGTATCAGACATTGACATGAAAACTATTTGGAGGCACCAGTACTTCATGTTTTCCCCACAAGTTTCTTATACCTGGACTATCAATACGGAGCATAAGTCATTCCATCACTTGCAATCCCTGAGTCAAAGGGATTGACTCAAAGTCAAGAGGAGCTGGTGATGCTAACTCCACCCACGTCAATCAGGCAGCCCATCCTCTCATGTTTTCTTAGCAGACAACAACAGCTCACTTTCCTTGAGCTCTGACAGATTCCCCAGAATCCACATTTTCAAGTATTTTCTCTAAATCCTCTGAGGTTATAAACATATCTCACGTTAATGGAAGCAAAGATTGACTTTAATAAAATACGACGTGACTCCAGACTCAATACTTGAGAGCACGCGCAGAATTAAATGGAAACCAGTTTTACAGAAGCACCATCTTCTCACAGCCGCCTTCACCTCGGATGCACGTAGCAGGGGCTACACGTGTACCTTGTTCTACAGCAGCTCCTCACAGCACACTGCAACTGGACAACAGAAGTTGCATGGAGAGGCAAGGAAGGTGGGTGTGCAGAGTTACCACAGCACCAGCGGCACACTGTGGCCTGCACTGCATACACGTTTTTCTAAGTGAGAAATAAAATCCATCGTTGCGAGATTATACCCCATTTACATAATTGAGGCAATTACTGCGCTGATCACATTTAATTACATTTAACGCCACAAATAATTTCCAGCTGTAAAGCATTAAGTTTGTTTATCTGTGCTAAAGAAGCCAATCGTCATGAAAATAAAATGGCAGCGGTCTCAGATTATGGCAAGTTATGATTTTTGACATTTGAAGTAACACGTAGGAAAGAACATGAAGCCAAAGCAAAGCGATAGTGCACACAGGTGTAGCTACCTTAGCAGTCCTCCTGTCAAGAAAGTATCTCTAAGGCTGTCAGCATCATTTAACAAGCTGGAGATAGTCACACTACGACTAACACGAGATAATTACGAACGGGGAAGGCAGAGCTCTCCGCCGATCGCCGACGGCAGCACCGCGGCCGCCCCGCGCTTTGCTTCCAGCCTGCGCCGGCCCGCCGGTGCTGGCGGAGCGGGCCGTGCCGCGGGCGCCGCCTGGCGGCCGGTGGGGAACAACGCGGACCCGCGGAGCGCCGCGGCCGCCTCCCAGCGGCGTGGAGCTGGCGGCTCTCGGGGCCCGTCCGCCCCCCGTGCGGCTTCGGGTAAAGCACCGGAGCCCGGTGAGTCCGGTGAGCGGGAGCGCAGCGCGGTGCCACGAGGCGAAGCGAGCGCAGAATTCATCTGCGCCACAGAAGTCTTTTTAAAGCCCGCCTGCAAAACGTGCGTCGTCGTCTCCAGTTCTGACAAACGAAAGAGCCCGCTCGTGCAATTAGCGAAAACATCGAGTTAAAGCGACGAGGGAAAGAGACGGAAAATGATTTGTTAACCGTGGCTTCAAAGAAAACAGCCCGGCATCCCGTTCCTCCCGTCGGAAGCGAAGCGGGCCGCCAGCCCCGCGCACTGCGGGCCGCGTTCTGCAGGGGGCTGCGTTTGCGAAAAGGGCTTCCGAGCCAAAGCGCTGCGTACTGAGCCTCCTTAGCGACAGACAGCACGTGGACGGGCCTGCCCGCAGCTGTTGCTCGCTGCTGCATGCCCACGTTATATAAAATATGTATTAAAAACACTGTGGAAACGCGGTTAATTAAGCAGCAGCCACGCGGCTGCTTTGATGAACGCCCTTCAGCCACGAACCCAACGCGCGCGGGGGGAGCGAAGGACCGCAGAGCGTCCGCGCTGTGCGGCGAGGGGAACGAGATGGGGAGCGAGAGCTGCGGGCAGCCCCCGCAGCCGCAAAGCGAGCGGCACCTGCAGCAGCCACGTAGCGCTCCGCCCGCTTCCATACGCCCACACCTCCTCGCTCTCCAGGACAAAATAATAGAGATCCCGAACGCCGCCCCAGCGAGGCCACCCGCGCGGGGTCGGCGGCAGCCGGGCAGGTCAGCCCCGAAGGCCGAGGTTGCCGCAGGGCCCCGCGGGGACGCATCGCTGCCGTCCCGCATCTACCCCGGCTGCGCAGCCGGGGCGATGCGGAGCCGCGGGGTCGGGGCCGCCGCCGCCGCGCGGAGCCGGCGGGAGTAAGCGGGCAGAGCCCCGCAGCCCGGCCGTACACCTGTTGCAGGGGGAACGGCCGCCGCCAACCCCGCGCCGTCGCAGCTCCCCGCGGCCGCGTAGGGGCGAGCCGGGCCGCGCGCCCACCCCGAGCCGCGCGCAGCACCTCACCTGCGGAGCGCCGGCGCCCGCCGCTCCTGCCCGCGGCCTCCGCCATGTCTCCTCCTCGGCGCGCGCGGCGGCTCCGCCCCGCGGCTCCGCGGCCCCGGGCAGGTGAGGCCGCCACGTCCCACCCCCGGCGGTAGCTGCAGGTGAGGGCGGGCCGGCAGCGACCGCTGTCCCGAGGGCGGCCGTGAGGCGGTTATGAACCGGGAGCTGTCGGCTCACTCCGAGTTCCGGTGCCTGTATCTCCCTGCATGCTTTTGCGGTGTCTGTTCGTTGCCTCGCAGGACTCTGGCAGCACGGCTGCCGCGGCAGCCCCTGACGGTGTGAGGCGGGACGCGGGGCTTGGCTGGTGAAACTGTGAGGTGCTGCAACACGGTTGCAGGATGGGCTCGGCGCCGAACGAGAGAGGGTCCAAAGCCAGCGCTGCCGCGGTCCGGATTTCCTTCTTGCCTTCTGCTTGGCTCTCTTAAAGAAGTGGAAGGAGTCTCGGCCATCCTGAGCCCTGCACCAGAGCAGCTCTAGCCAAGGACCAGGAGGTTGCTAAGCTCAAAGGGAGCAGTGCATCCTGTAATCAAAAGGCTGCCTGCTGCAGAATCCTTCACTAAAACATACCGGGTCCTCAGAATGTGATCTCGTGTCTCACTTGAGGTCATTGGGTACCTGCCAGCATCCCTGGAGAGCCAAGCTGAGGGACTCCCCCTTAAAGGAAGCTGTAAGAAGGAAGAGGACAGACTCTTCAGCAAGGCCTGCTGCAATAGGACAAGCAGAAATGGTATCAAACTACAGGAGGGGAGATTTAGACTGGATACAAGGAGAAAGTTTTTTACAATAAGGGTAGTGAAGCACTGGAACAGATTGCCCAGAGAGATGGTGGATGTCCCATCCCTGGAGACACGGTCAGGCTGGACAGGGCTCTGAGCACCTGACGGAGCTATAGGTGTCCCTGTTCAGTGCAAGGGAGTTGAACTAGGTGGCCTTTAAGGGTCCCTTCTAACTCAAAGGATTCTATGGTCCCCAGCTGACCTCCCTGATGCACTCCACCCCAAAGGACGTAGGCGTTCTGTCCATTACAAATATTTTTACAAGTGTTTAGAACAATTTACTGCAATGGCATGGTGGGGTTGCTACAAACTCTTTTCTGATTGTGCACAGCTCTAGCCCAAGGATGGATAAACTGGGCAGCTGACGGAAGTGCACCCCACAGGTGCTCAGGTAGGATGGCTGCCTAGCCCTGCATCAAATATGACACAGCCCTATGGAATGGGTTACTGAGCAGCTCTGCAGGTCTGGTGAGGCCAACAGCAAACCACAGGAATTAATTCCCAGCTGGTGCCAAGCTAGGTCTCGTGGAGATATTAAAATGGACATGGAAACGATCACACTGTCTTCTCTTACACATAGCTGGCATTCCTGAGCATCCTGAGTCATAGGCCATGGACAACAGGCTGCTTGCTTTTAAAGTATGAAGAGAGAAAGCAATGCACTTGTGTTCTGTCCTATTCATCCTGCATAAAACCAGAACTTTTCAAGCTTTAGTCATGGGCTGACACAGAATCCCATTTCACATTGTCAAATCAAATTAGTTTGTTTTCCTAAAGTCACTTTTTCATATTTAGGATTTTTTAAAATTGATTGTGTTTTCTACCACTCTTGGTGTGCATGTTATTTTCTTGGGAAATACATAACCTGAAAAATTCAGGACATAAGCTGTTCATCAACTACAAGGCTTACAAAGAAAGGAGTAGCTTCTGTCTAAGCATGTTCTATTCATAATGGAATGGGGATTTGTTTGTGTTAGGGTTTGTTTGTTTAAAAGCTGCCCCAGAAGAATCTCAGTGCAGGAATGCCAGGATGACAATCAGTGTGGATGGATAGAATGTCCACGATTTTTTCCATAATGTGTGAGAAAAGAGATACAGACAAAGGTAGAATAAAGCAAAACAACTGTTCTGTGCACAGAGGGTGAGCGTTCTTTCATCACATCAAGCAGAGGAGCCTGAGAAAAACTGTGTTCTGCAGGGAGTTGTCAGTGTTCTGTTCACACTGATTCCAGTACAGAGAAAACATTCAAGGTTATGGATTATCAAAGTCAAATCACTGTAACTTGAACACATCAGAAAGTTTCCCTTGATACTCAGTGTGATTTTTTTTTTCCTTTTTTATTCCAATATTTTCCCATTTTACACCTTTAGTATTTTAGAAGTCCAAAAATATAGGAAAAAGTAACTCTTAGGTTATTTTTATTTTCAACTGTGTGTGTCAGATAGCTTTAGAACAAGCTAACAGTACTATGGTTGAGGTGTATGCAACTGGTACAGTTCAGTAGTACATAAACAACTAAAACAAATGCACTGTAGAACTTAAATTACCAAAAATAAACAATATTAAACTATGTAGAGCAGTAGGTAAAAACAATTACTTTTAGGTCTTGCACACTAGAAGAAAAACATCTACTTCTGATTGAAATTATGAATTTCTACTACATTTTACTGATACAACACTACAAAGAAAAAGAAACTTGATTGAGAAGGTGTCACATTTTGGTTTTGTTCCAGTGATACACAGTCACATGAAACCTTACATCAGTTTTCCATGAAATGAACATGTGGTTACTTTAAGTACAATATTTCTTGAGTTAATTTTTTTTCCCCCTTTTAATTTTTGGAAAACTTGCAAGTAAAAATGGTTGAAGTAAAATAATGTTGCATGTTGTTTACATATTCCTCAGGGATTACAGGAGTAAGAGCAGTCAGGAAGCTGCAGTGTTTTTAACATTGGTAAACAAATACTGGATTAAAGTGCAACAGTCCTTCTGACAGCACACCTGCTCTGTGCTGGAAAGAAACCTCTTCCTCCCCACAGAGAAGCAAGGAAAGATTTCAGTGTCAGGCATGTTTCTGTCGAAAGTCAGTAATGGCCTTCCAGAGTGTGCATAGCATTCCTCCCCTGTAAAGGAAAAAAAAAATTAGAGATGCTCAGGTACAAGAATACTCTCTACCCTGAAAGTATTCCAGTTCAGGTGCATTCTGATTCTCTTGTTCTAGTTTTGATTAATACAGTTCTACGACTGAGTAGGAAGGCTGATCAAAGGTGAAATCCAACACGTATTCAAACAGAGAGCAGAGTCCTTTTTTGATTACAGTACAGGACAAACTTTTCACTTTCCAGTTGCCTGCTTTCTGGAACTCAGACTTCTGGACCTACATAAACCACAGCAGGCTGCCAACATTACGAAGGAACCACCTGCTGAAGTTTTACTACTTGTTAAAAATTATTTTAAAACTAGGAACCCTCAATGCTTGGTAACTTTTCTTGTTTCTGCATAAGCTGGTCCTCCATAATGCTGTGGCAGATGCACCTGGCATGACTTGCTGGAATCTAGCATTAGCTATAGGCTACGTGCCTTTCTGCAGCTTCAATAATAATGGTGAACATAAGCACATTTTGCAATCTCAACCTTTTAAAGTAAAAGCAGGGCTCTAATGGGATTCCCAGGGTATCCAAGTGCAAGGTAAAAGCTGTACTTAAAAAAAATTCTTTTGCTTGGCTATAAAAGAAAAGCTTGTTTTTAACGTGCAAGCACTACCAGCAGCTTATCAGGACTGCATAGAGAGATACAAGAAATACTGTAAAGTGTTACTTCTATTAAAACAATGCAGCACAATCCAAGAAACAGGGGTTTAGTATCAGTTATTTGCTCATGTAACAAAACCTGCTGCAGCTCCACGCAGTTCACTTAACAGTGCAGCCTTACCTCAGTCTCAAACACTTCAGGTCATCTCGTGTAACATAGCAGAGAACATCCATTAAGGTATAGTCTTCAGCCAAGAACTACAAAAAAAAAGTTAAATATCAGTATTTTGTTAGAAATACTATCTAGCCATATATACAGTCTGCCCTTAGAAACAGAAGTTTCTAGAAGAAATCTAGAATTGGTCCAACATGTGCTGCACCTAAGAAATGAATCCATATTGTACACCTATGTGAAACCCAGTGAAACTACTTATTGCACACACTGACATACCACACATTACTCAAAACACAGTGCTTTTGCAGCTTCTCAAAACTTTTGTCAATTGGCATTTCCACTGTTACCACTGGTATCTCAGAATCTTGACTTCAGTGAATGTACACTGAGGTATAATTAATACTACACAAGAAAATTGGGAAAAAAAAAAAAAAAGCTAAGATTCACATTTTCATCAGTGGCATCTAAATTTGATACTTGAATTTCCAAGAAGGCTTTGAACTACATGAAGGTTTTCTTAAGTCAGCCAAAACTGAGGTGCTCAGCACCTCTAAAATTATCTATCCTTTGCTGCAGAATCTTGATGAAATTTCACAGTTAGCTAAGGGTGAACATGTTCTCTATATCCAGGACGTAATCAGCAGGAACTGCCACCATCTGGGAGGATGCTGAAGAACTGTGAGCCAAAGCAATACTGCCTCTTTTCAAGGCCAATTTATTCTTACTCCTTGTCAGTTACACAATTTTTAAATATATATATATATATTTAAATTATAGCTTTTGTATTTGTGGCTTTTTCTTTTCCTCTGAAAAGAGATTCATTTTCATTACTTCACACATTTTGAGAGATGATTTGCTTTCTTCTTGTGTTCAGTCACAAAACAGTACTGCATCTGTGTCACAAAGCAATCAGAAAGCACCATCCTTACCTTGTTTATTGTGGCCTCATCAGCTCCTTGAACACTCAGCCAGTTTATGAGATCAGGGTCCTCAGTCCCTGTGCCAGTGGAATGACGATGACAGACAGATAACCCAGGAATATCTAGAACAAGCATTTGTTATTTATTTATTTATTTTTAGAAGGTTGCATGTTGCCAAAGCAACACCTCCTATCATTTTTACTGCTGAAGCACTGTCTTTAATCACTTTTCCCTCCAGCCTTAGGATAGCAGTACCCCCACAGATAAATGTCAGTTCCTGCAGCCCACAGCCAATTGCAATCTATGGACAGTTCACATCAACTATTGTACTTGGTAACAGTGTGAATTTGGGCCCTGGGCCTGAATCTGAAGGCAGTTAAAGCAGCACGAACATCTGATACAGATACTTTCCTCTTTGGAGAATGATTCAGATAGAAAACTCAGTATCATTGCAATTGTGTCTACACAGAGTTTCTCACACAAATCAAATATTCAGTGTAATTCATACAAGTGGTGTGTAGGCAATGCTTTACAGTGAGAATCAGCTGCTTTTGCAAAGTGGCACTTATTTGAAGCACACTACATTGAAGTACCAAACTGCATTAGCACTTCTACCCTCTTTGAGGTAGATGCAGATCAAACTCAGCTTCACTCAGTGAGATTTAAGTTGTACTTCTGTCTCATCATTTAGATAGAGCCTCTTGAATATCCAATGTTACAACTGCCATTAAAAATACTGAAGTCATGCTATCACTTTTATTGTGATTAACAAATTCATTAATTTGTTTCTTCAGTGTGCACTCCAAAGCACATTGTGTCAAAAGCAACATAATAAAACATGTTTGCTGAGGCTGGCAAATTTATCTGCCACTGTTCTGTTTTCATCTGTGGCCAGTGTGAAATTTTTCTCCAAAATAGCTTCTCACCTATTGGCTGTGACCTAAGCCGGAGGTTTTTGATCTCCTGATCTTTTTCTTCTATAGCTTGATGTAAAAGGACTTGAAATTCTCTCTCCTTTTGAACCAGCTCCTCCAATAACCTGAGAAGCAAGAGGAAAATACACACTTTTTTTTTCTTTTTTTTCTTTTTTCTTTTTTTAAGTTGGTTTCACATCCTACTAAACTTAAACTGGAAACCTTATTGACAGAGATATGGACAGATTTCTTCTCTTGTCTTAGGAATATCCTATCACTATAAACTTTTATGACTCACATGAAGATAAAAGCATCTACTCTTCTGGTTCCTAAAGCTACAGCTATTAAGCAACAAAACAAAGCAAATACTCTGCCTTCATAGACACAGACACGTGCTGAACAGAACAGGTAATATGACACAAAGTTTCAGTGAAATTTATACAGCCAGTATTCTGTTATAAACAAAACTGTGGATTTCTTCTTCCCAATTATCAAAGCATTTCATAAACCAAGTGCTGAACTTCATCACTTTATCCTGTGTATGGCTAAATGCCAATTCACATCCCCCCAGCAGATATTTTCAAAAGCATGGCAGGGATGGAGAAGCGATGAAAAAGTGGTGACAGCTTATAGGTCTGTTTCTTAAGTGGGAAAGATGCACTGCAATCCACACAAGGTCTCTCCTCACTTAGTAAAGGGTTTATACCTGCCCTCCCATGCTATATGAATGTCAGAAAAGGCAAAATAGCTTTGGTGCTCTCCTAAGCAATTACTTTTGAGAATGACAAGCAGAAACAAACCAGAACCTATGTCTGAATCCCTCATAATACAACGCCAGAGGGAACCCCTTAGAAGTTTGGTGGCCAGTATCATTCAAATTGATCAAGGATAAAGAGTCAGAATACAATAGAAAATGTGCATGTGAAACTCGCTGCTGTAACTTCCTGTTCTGTATTTTTATTTCCTTATTTATTTTCGTAAAAGAATGAATTGTGAACCAAACATACACAGAAACCTGGCTAAAGAAATTGGAGATTGAGAACATATGCTCACGTTATAGCTCATAAACCTATTTGTGACTCTCCAGTCTTAGGAAGTTCTACTTCGAAAGAATCACAGCATCTCCATCCCTTCCTTGAAGTCTTTGTCAGCCTGAGAACTACACAGTATCTATTCCGTTTTAGTGCAGCTTTTGTTTTGTTTTTACGTTAGTTAGACACTGCAACTTTTCTTCTGGGATGCCGAGAGATAAGGGCATTGTGGAATTCAGCTGGAGGATGTGCAGCAGAAGCACTCTGTCTCTGCACAGAAATGAACTGCTTCTTATACGATTGCTACTTTTAGGGATGCATAGAACATGCTGGCTTACCAACAGCACAGCTGCATTTGAGTACTTCTCCACACTAGAGCTGACAGTTCTTGAGAAGTCCACCTCCCATGCTATCAACACTGCTTTGTCTCTCTACACACACCCACACCTTGGTTACTCTCGATGCAGATTAGTATTCTGCACAGAGTCGTGCAGCCTGAGGCTTCAACTGAAGCTTTCAGTTAATGTATTCCTCCTCTACCCATTCTGGTTGAAAAAAGGGCCGTTGAGGCCAATAAACCATTTTCTCTCAGAAGCTACTTGCTGCAAATGCCAATAAAGTTTTAATTAATTCCTTAATTAAACAACTGCCCATATTATTTACCTCAAAATTTGAGTGTATGATAGGATGTGATTATTTGGCCAAAGGCTTTGCATTCAAGAAGTTTACAGAAGTAAGGTTCTAGAAAGCAATACCTCATCCAATAGGATGCTATTCCTGAGCATAAACTTGAGAAGTCAAGTGAGACAATCTATATCACGTTTGTGTTGTTGCTTTTAAGTATATTAATAAGGTAAATCAAAATATTTCTCAGTGCTCACCACAAACATAAACAGTGAATTGTAAAATGAGAACTGAAGAGTTCTTACTCTATCAAAAATAGTACAGTATAATAAATTATCTAATTATGGCAAAGTTCCTCGAAACACTTACAAGTAAAGAGCAGTTTAACATTTTAATTTAATTTGGGTCAATTGCTACGTAGAATGTTCTGGCAGCATAACAACTGTACTGAAGATATATTCTCCTTCTGTGAAGGTCACATAAAAAATTTACTGAGGTCAGTGGGAAATCCAGTGCCATATAAAGCTAAAATAGCTGCTCCAAACAGACTATTTAGTACATGTTAATGAAAAGAAAACAAGATTATATAAAAAAATTGTTTGAATAAAACAATGGGAGTCAGAGACCTGTGTTTTAGTTAAGAAAATAATATCTTAGTAAAAGTAGAATGCATATATGTTCTGAAAAAAATCCAAAATACAAGTTTCTGGACCATTTCTTATTTAAAAAGTGCACACATTTTTCCTTCTCCGACACACAGCATTTTTAAAATAAAATAAAAATGTAATGCTTGCTTGTAAACACAAATCCTGCTGCCATGAATTCTGCACACAAAACAACTCTAGAAGTTTCCTTTGTCAGTTCATGTGTGGCTGTCGACTCGCTTTTGTTTGTTCCCCAGGAATAACTACAGAAAAGAACAGTGTGTTCTGCCTTAATGGAAACAAAACATACCACCATTCATCAGCTATATACAGCATATGAAGGAGAGAAAAAGCAGAAACTTGGCAGCAAGATAAACATTTTCAGATCTTCCTTGAAAGGGTGCCTGAAGCCAAGACCAACCTTAACTTGTGTCATTATCATACTGAAACGAATAAAACTAATACATGTGATCAGTCACAACTATACAGTGACTATCATTTAAAGGATAAGTTGCATTACTATAGAATTTTGATACTGTCAGTACTATTCTAGTATGTATAATTAAAAACACAAACCAACATACGGAGTCACAAGGTTAGTGTGTCCTGATGCCCAGACTTACCTATTAGTCTCTAATTTTAGCCTGCCCAGCTGGACACTCAGTGTTCTCTGAGCAGCCTGTGAGTCATGGGATACTGTAGAGCTGAGTGTGCTCACACCTGAGGTAGCTACTGCATCTTCCATGACAATGCAAGGCTGTTGGATAGTTTGATTCTGAGGCTGCTCATCTTGATCTTCTTCAACTTCTATATCATCTTGATCTGCTGCATCACTTTCAGATGCAAGACTAAAATGTGGTCTCAATTCTATTAGAAAGATTAAAATATAAGGAAAAAAAAAAAACAACTATTTAGTGATCATCCTACAGCTTTGATTAAACCAGACTGGAAATTTCTGGAGCAAGAGAACAGATCTAGGGGTTTAGGACCACTCATACCATAGAGTAACAGTTTACACATTCTGATTCAGCCCACAGAATGTTCAAAGTCCTTAAGAAATAGAAATCTGGCTTAGTAAGATTTCAAATTTGGCTAGCATCTGATGTCAAACTGCACAGAAATCTTACTGTTCACCCTATATACAGAACAAACAGTATTGCACTTGCAGTATGAATGCTATCTGCTTTCTAGTGCCAGGATTGATTGAGGGCTTGCTGAATTGGGGGGGTTGGGTGGGGGGGGTTAATGAATGCTACTGCCTCCAGTAGTTGAGGACAGAGTTATCATACTAATACCACTTCCTATTAACACCTATTAAATGCTGATTAAAGCAGTATTAACACCACTTCTGCGTTAGATTTAGCCTACAGCTATCAAGAAGTACAACTGTATGCATTGTAGACGATATCTGCATCTGAACATGAGAGTGAAAACTTAAGAGATTTCGATATCTAGAGGTCTAAATATCTGAGATATTTAGCATTCTCTCATTAAAAGAATATCATGCTTACCAAAATCTGTATCCATCTTTCTCCAGAGAGAAAATAACAAACAGATCACTTTCCCAACAGTTAAAGTAGCACACTTCCCTTCTACTCGTTAGAGTGAACACTGCCTACTTTGTAGTGATGTACACTCACAAAATCATGGACACAAAGCTGTAAGAATACACTGTTTTCTGTTATTCCCTGTTTAAACTACCTACCAGAACTTACCAGGTATGCAAGAAACATACACAAGATCTTATATTCCTACAAAATCTGTTACTGCATCAACATCTGTTAATCTCAGCCATTTTATGTAAATCTTCCTTCCTTCCTTCAATTGTGCCTCCTTATGGCTGAGTATTCCCTTTAGCCTCCACTTCAAAATATACTTCTTTTATTTTTTTTGGCTAGGCTTTTTTCCTTTATGCTCAAGAATCTACAAGTAAACTTCTTTCCAAAAGGGACATTCATGCCTCGATCCAATTAACCTCTTAATTTCAATGCCACTTGCTTTAGAGCCAAACATACTAAGACCAACAGCTGCCCCTACCTTAAGTAAAACAAAGTGAATTTATCACACAGCAGCTCCCCAGCTGTTTTTTTTTTTTTTGTTTGGTTTTGTTTTTTATGTTAGGGAAATATGTCTGTATTTGTTTTACTTTAAAAAACAACAAAAAAACATCACACTACTAGGAACAAGTTCATTTTGCCATTGTAGAGCAACCATCAGCAGGTGTAAATATACATTTTCCAAAAAAATTAACCCATGCTGGGCGATTTGTTCATCCTTTGGATACCAATAGCAGCATTATGCACTTCAAAAAAGGCAGCCTCAGAACACCTTTGCCTGCTAATGCTCATTGAGTTGCAGAATTGTTTACATTACACATCTTGGAAAGTAACATGGACAACACACTTATCAGTGTTAGAGCTGCAAAACAAACAGTGAACAGGAAAAAAGTCTCTGCTAGTTTCAAAATTTTAAGTGAAGCACCATAATCACAGCTCTAAAGCACATTTAAAGAGATCAGGTAACAAATATTTGCTGAGCAGTATGAACTAACTTACCTGGGACCAGAGTAGTAATAGCTGTCTGCACAGCTTTTCTAATTATGTTGTCCAATGCAAACATCCAGTGTGGCTTGATGTTATGATTTCGGAGAACTTTATTGACCTAGCAAGACAGAATCCAAGTCAGCCATCATATCCTTCACAAATTAATAATACCATGATACATGTCAGAATATTGTAAAATGTTTGAACTTAAAGATGTTGCATCAAAACAAGTGATGTAAACTATTTCATGTTGACACTGAATGAAGAAATTGTTAACAAAACAGTGGAAGTTGACAATACCACGCGTCAGAGACAGTACTTTGTAGTTTATTCTAAATGAAGTACCAGTTCCTGTGCTAGGTGTTTTCACATGGCTGATACTGAAGCTTATTTAACATTTACAGTCATAGACTGACTGAAAAAAAATGCAAGCCCCAAGACAAATACCAAGGACCATATTGTGGAAGCTTTGTGACTTAACCCGATCAACCTTGTTACTTTTCTTGGTATGATTTTCTCTGCTTGCTCTGAGCAGTGCTTCACTATTCTAAAGAATAGCTGTAGGAAGTATAAAAGAATTAATATAAACGCTGCTCCCTCTTGATTCAGAAAATAGTTAATTAACATTAGTTTAGACAGTCAGAAGACTTCATTTTGATGCTGTGCCATCACCTCTTTCCTTCTACTGTTAACTTCATACGATGAGACAGTTGCACTTGTGAAAACTTTTATGCATGTTTAGAAGGCAATAAAGTGTTATGAATCGTATTATCACTGCCCTAAAGCAACAGTGCTCAGCAAGGCAGGAATTGACGTAGGTGCCTGTACCAGGTTGGCTGGCATAGAACTCATTTTCTTTTTAGCAGCCCACAAGGTGCTGTGTTTTGGCCTGGTGCCAAAACCAGGGCTGATATTTATCTACTTATTTATAGCTGAGCAGGGTTTGCAGAGCATCAAGGTCTTTTCCGTTTCCCACGTTGCCCTGCCAGTGAGTAGGTTAGGGGTGCACAAAAAAAGCTGGGAGAGGATACAGCCAGGACAGCCAACTCAACTAGCCAAACAGATATTCCCTATCACACTGTGTCCTGCTCAGCAAGAAAAACAAACCTACTTTTTCCAAAGGAGCTATTGCTTAGGGACGGGCAAGGCATTGCTCAGCTGGTGGGTAGCAGACTGCTTTTGCACTACGTGGTCCCTCCACTTCCTTTGCTTAAACAGTCCCCATCTTGACCCACAAGTTTTCTCTCACCCAGCAGCTGGATCAGCACCACTGCAGCGCCTCGCTTTCCTCAGTTCTGTCCTCAGCGGCCACAAGATGGCAGTTGGACACTACACAGAAGTGCACAGAGCCTTACACATAGCCCCCTCCAAGCCGGCCCACGGCCAGCTGAGGCAGTGCACCTCCTGCTAATTCCTACCCACAGCACTGCCTTTAGCTGAGCCTATCTATCCAACTACTGAAGCAGCACAATGCATTTTTGACAAGAACAACAACAAAAATTCCACAGGAATGCCTTTGAGCTTTTCAGGCTGTAGCACAAAACCGCTTTTCTTCATAGGTGCTCTTATGAGGACATCTTGGATATGAACAGGGTAATCCCAGGTTACAAAGTTAAAAGTCCTGAGAACAAGGGAAATGCTTTCCCTCACTTTTAGCAATATGCCTGCCTGTGCAGTACCTGAGATGGATACACATCTGGATGAGAGTTCTATGATAGAAATTTAACATGTCAAAAAATAAAGGCTGGCTAATTACAATCTTTTTTCTTTGACCTTTCTGTAGTTCTCTTTGCTAAATAACAGCAGCGGGAGAGAAACGTATAACTTAAAAATAGCAGCTTACAACAATGAAGGTAACAGAAGAAGATTAAATATTTATAGAAAAGAGCATGAACTGACTGTTGTCACAAAACAGCTGATGCCCAACAACATCTGCCAGAAACCCAACACAGATATTTGTACTCTTTCTCGCCATCAATTGGTTTTCTGGTCTTTGTACACATGTATTTCTTTCAGCTGTCCAAACAGAAGTGACGTGAAGCTAAAGAGAGTGGAGAGCTGAAGAGTATTCAGAGTGAAGACTTCTTTCCTTTGAGGAAAGTTCTCTTTTACAGATTCATTTTGCATATTAGCTTTTTTTGGTAGGCGGTCTACTTCTTTGTCAGTATGGTGTATGCAACAAACAGTTTAAATGCTGTACAATCTTTCCTGACACCTCTGTTCTTTCTCAAAGTACACAAGGTCAAAATGCTGACAAGAATGATCCACCTCAAGTGCCTACTTGGACTGTCATTTCACTTTTCACTTCAGAACTTCAGGCTCCATAGAGACACCCAGCACAGCTGTTTCCTCCCATGTAAATTATTCATCTTAAGCTTTAAGCATAATTGTTTGTGAACTAACATTGAAATACACAGCTGGAAAACAAAACAAATTTGCTTTTGGTACACTAGCTATTTAAGTGGTATTTATATGTCTATTTGGTTGCTGCTCGTTGTTGGATAGCACAAACTGCAAATTAATTGCTGTCACAAAGGAAACCTATTTTTCTTCCTTCTTATTCTATTTATTATAGATTGATAAGAAAAGCTTCTAACTTTGGTTAGCAGCTAATTCTGATGCTAACCAAAACTAGAGTCAGAATTCACATCAAATTTATAATTTAGAGTATTATGTCAGGCCATGGAAGTACTTAATGCATGAATTTATAAAGAAGCCAAGTTCAAGAGATTTATTTATGCAAGACATGCTTGACAGTCAGTGTCAATCTTATTTACCAGAAAATCTCATAAAATGAGATTTTTTAAAAAGGTTTTTCTGCTTTGGCATTGTGACAAAGCTTATGCAACTGTGCTGAATGAAGATTCTTTAATCAACAAAATCTGAACAGCTATGTTCAGCATTTGCATCCTGCCAACAGTCCCACAGCAACCAAACCCAATCATGGCTGTGGGTTGTTTTTCTCATTATTACAAGATCAAAGTTCTCACACATTACTGGTTCAGAAATTCTGGAGGGAAGTTAACCAAGTTTCATCTACTTCTGTTTTCTAGATTTTTGCAGTTTTCCCACACAAAATATTTAGTAAAAATGACAACTTACAGCATCTTGAAAACCAAACAGCACAAGCTGCACTTGACTGATACCATGGCTGTCAAAGTCTAACTCCAGTTTCAGTTTTGAAAGAGTGGTTGCAATGATTTTACGATCAGTGGACCGTACAAACTCTCTGAGGCTGGAAACAAGCGTTGTAATATGTTCCCATTTTAGCTTGGGCTCTTCAGCTCCCTGGAAGAAGAACAGACAGGAAAAGAAATAGTTTTTATAACCATCTTTTGAAATGTACACCCAGAGGGCCTTCAACCAATAATGTTAGTTGGCAATATGATTTTTGGAATCTGACGCTATAGTTAAGGCAAAGGTGCAACTGCGGGTCACATTACAGTAGCTGTGTAAACACAACTGTACCACTGAGCTCCCTGCTAATGCAGATTACTGCTCAGAAAGTAGCTGACTTTATTTTACAGCAGTTGCTGAAGCATATGTGCATATCATTCTCTGAACTGCAATTAAAAAAAAAAAAAAAACCATGCACTTTTCAGAATGCCTCTGAAAGACGACGTGCAAAATCCCACCACTGCATTTAAAAGAAGGAATTAGTCAAGGTTACAGAGGAAAAAATACTAATTCCTTTTTACATCATTTCCCTTTGTACAGCACTTAGCTGTTTATTAAAGCAAATCCACAAATCTCTCCCTTCCCTATTACAAAGTCTAGTGCCTATCTTTAAAAGTTTCTGTGTTTTTGAATAAGCTACAAAAATAGCAAAAAAGCTCAAAAGTATTCATCAGAATAAAGACCATGAATAACTAGGAAGCAGAAGATTTTATTTACTCTCCAATATAATATCATATGGAATATAAATTTCATTTTCAAACCTTAAGATCAAGTCAGAGATAGAAAACCTCACTACTTGTTCAGCACACGGCATTAAACACCTTTTCTAAAGGAAATGAAGTACTTATAAAGATTTCAAACATTGGTTTCTATAACAGAACGACATTCTGTGTTTGGTTCCCTTATGTTTATCAGTTTTAAGCCATGAATGTCACAGCTGGATACGTCAAGAACTCTGTTTGCATAATTTGTTAACTAGTCTTTGACTGTTAATTAATTCTGATCTGGATGAAACCAAGAACATTTGGCTGGTGGGGGAAGGTAAAAACAAAAAAAACTCTACAGTAATTAAACATCTAACTGATTAAAGCACCCCACCTCTGAGAAAAATTCTACCTTCTGATTTTGATTTGCTCTGATTTGGAAAATTCACCTGACTATTGTCTATACTGAAATGGACTCCTCCCTCTATCCTGCAGTAGTTGGTCCCCTTTTCCTGGAAATAATTAACAGCCATTAGGATAGATAGGTGGACACAGAACTCACTGCAGCCCTTGAATTAGAAGGTTCCAAGTCCATCAACGGCACCTTGGGGACATGGTAACCAGTATGGCTCCCTAATTAAAAACAGAGGTTTACTTTGGGGAGGGTCATTCTCCTGCCACAGCCATCCCCCACAGTGACTGTTTTGTTGAAATTATTCTTATAAGAACTTCTTGGGAAGGGAGAAGTACTATCGAAGCCTAAATCCTGATGAAGCCTAACAAGCAGGTCAGACTTCCATCTGTTGGTACTTTCTTGCTTTTAAGCAAGGTGTAACAGGAATCCAGATCAGCTTCCCCTTAACTGCAGTTACCACTGCTTTCTGGTGGTTTGAGTAAGCTTCCTGCTCTTTGACAAGGCACAAAACTGTGATAGAAAACTGTGTTTGGGAGTCAAAGTTCTGCACCCTTCTGAAGTGCAGATGGTCCCACCCAGCTGGGCTTTGAACTCTGACACTACAGCTCCACGTTCCCCGGTTCCTATCTTGGGCTGTTCCAGCTCCACCTGAAGAACACTTATTCCCCCATCAACATTTGGTGGGAAATACAGGAGAAGATATGTGAAATGAGCACCTTCTTTGGACTTTGTGGCTGTTTCAGCTTCTCACAATCTCTTTGATTATTACTTTCGTACACATGCTAACAACTGTGTTGTGTTACAGCAGCTATCCTGCATAGCATGGATTGCTAGCATTTCTTCTTGCCTTTTATTTTAACACTTTGTATATTGTTACCAGGACAACTGCTGTAATTTCCCCTACCCTCACTTTCCTCCATGAGTTAGAAGCTTTTTTTTCTGTATAGTAACAATTTCCAATTACATTAGCTGTGCTACACGCATAAGAATCATATTAGTTTGCATTGGTTTCTCTAGCAGTACTATCTTTAAAAGATGACTTGCCATATTTTACACAAACATGTTTTAGACTAGTAATATACAGCCTTGAAAATGAAGTGAGTCAATTAACTACTAACACACACATTACAAAAAGAACAAAAAAACCTGTCATCCAATTTCTGTGTTGCAACATCTAACAGCGTGATGATGACCTGTAATTTATTTGGTGTCATCCTGAACTGATACATCATAATGAATCATTGCCACAAAGCAGCACCAAAAGGTCATTCTGCAATTATTTTGCTGTATCTGCCACTACTCTACTCCATCCTCCCTCCCCTCCATATGTGGCTCCAATCACTGTGAGGAAGAGGCATTTTATTTTCTGACTACTTCTGTCTTTCTCCTTTTAAGGCTGTTGGCTGGAAGACAATGGTTTGTATCAATAACTCTACTCTTTTCTATACAGTAACCTAAGATCAGAGCAGACCAAAAGATCCAGCTCTTTTTCCATCAAACTCGACAGCTAGAAGATGGAACTCACAAAAACTAGTATCCAGGTGTTCAAATCATATTTATGAACAGCAGAAAAGGCATATCTAATGTAGGATAAACATAACATCAGAGCCTGTTTTTATTAGCTTCAATAAAGCAATAAACTGTGAAAGCTTACATTGTATATGCTTTCTAGTTTAATTAAGTGGGTGGTTTTTTTTTATTATTATTACACATAGATTTGAAATTTTCAAGTAATTGTAGTCTTCAAACTGCATCATTTTTATTTTTTTTTTTATTTTTTTATTTTTGACTGCCTTTTGAAATTACTTTACCTGAGCCAAAGCTTCCATCAAGTTCCTCACCACCTTCTCTTGGTCCTCAGTCAATATCCTGTGAAGGGTAGCTCTCCTCTCACTATCCTTCTTCAGCATGAAAAATCCAGAGTCTTTCTCTTCAGGTGAAGGAGGTGCACTGTGATCCTCAAAATTTTCATCTGGGATGCTGAAGAAAAGGCACTCGGTGAAAAGAAACTTTATGAAATACAATCACAATGCAGTAGTTCCTAATCTACTATGTAACATTAATGCTGGATAGCAGTACTTTACCTCAGAAAAAGGGACCGGATTCCCTTCCCATCTTTTTCTCCACAGGATTTTGCTCTTGTTTTGAAAGAGAACGGATCAATTTTTAACTCTGTATCAGGTGAGACAGATCCATATTCACTGCTGCTACTTGTATCTTCCACCAGAACAGGAACGGGTAAGGATATACTCCGAAGATACTCTAATAAAGGATATTTAGAAATTGAAATTTAATAGCACCAACACAGTCCTGAAGCAAAAAAAAACAGAAAATTCTGACTGCATTCCCCCACACCAATACAAAATATTAAATAAAAATAACAATTAAAACAAACAAACAAACAGCAGAAGACTTCTAAAGCTTGTTCCTCTGGAATAGAATTATCTTCAGCTACTTTTTTATTGAAAATGTTATTGAGATATGGAAACACTGGGCTCTTTGCAAGCTCATTTCCAGAACACTGACACAGGAGTGAACATCTACCACATGTCGTTAGCATGCACTCTGATCAGTAACAAAGTGTTTATATAGGTTAAGCCATATACCCACATTCTAGTAATTTAAATTCTACATATCCTTCTCTACAAACCTAGGCTCTGCTAAAACAAAACAGCCCTTTTGCTTCCTGCTCAGATTTCTACTAAGGGATCCTATAACAACCCCATTCTTCAAGCCCACATCACCCACCTGCCTGAACAGTTCAGCCAAGGCAGCATCACGGTGTTTTTAATTTGCACAGTGAATTAGATTTTTCTAACAGAGAAGGGTCACTCATTTTCATAGTTGTGCCCACCTCTCTTTGCAAGGATTTAATGTGACAAATTATACCAGAACGAGTGATAACTATAGTCTCTACATATTTATGCTCTGATTAAGAAAGTATGTTAAAACTCACCATTTGTGTTAGCTGAAAGAGCTGGGGGAGAAAGGCAAAGAAAAGAAAGTTATACATGCTAAAATAACACAGAAAAGAAAGTACTCACTTTAATTTTTATGGACTAGCTGGATGCTCTTAGCTGTAATTCTTACTTTAAAGTATGATTTACTGCCATTTAAAATGAATTTGAATCCAAAAATAAACAACAAACCAAGTATGTGAAAAGCCCTCATCCAATACCATCTCCTCTACATGGTATCTTTTCTTCTTTTTGGTATAACACTCAAATTATATAGAGGATATTTTTCATATATGCAAACATAAAATACAGAATTCAATTTCTCAAAGCTCCTCAGTTACATTCCACAATTTAGAACAGGGAATGAGCGTAGAAAAAAAAATAATACTGATTGCTATGGACAAAGACCATTTTGCTCATATAAAACACTCCTGAGGCTCAATATCATGCTATAACATTATATAAAATGCACTCTATGGAAACATTGTTTGAATGAAAACATGCACAGATTTTTAATAAATAAAATAAACAAACAGATAAAAACTTTTAGGGGTAGTGAAGAGGAAACTGCTTATCTTTCCTCCGTGGTACCAAGCGACAAGATATGTGGCATCATGGGAGGCTCAGACTAGACATTAGCAAAAGCTTCTTTACCAATTGATAGTTAGACATTGGAACAGAGAGGAAGGAGGAGCTGACACCCCATGCCTATCAGTGTTTAAAGAGCATTGTCAAAATGACTCTTAACGACATGTTTCAGGTCAGTCTTCAAGTAGTTTAACAGATGGACTCAATCTTTTAGGTCCCTTTTAAATGAAACCATTCTAATTTTATTCTTAAACCTTATTAGAAATATTTATATAAAACACCTCTGACAACGCACTAGTAGAATTCTGCTATCACAGTCTTTCTGCAGCTGGAACAAAAGGTTACAATCGAACATTCACCTGGGATGGAGATCTTCTGTCTTCATCTTAAAGACTGAAACACCAGTTTTAGGGAGCAATGCCATTTATGAGATAGAAATTCCTTACCCGAGAGTTTTGATGGGGATTTTCTTTTTTTGCTTGAAACCTTCAAGAATTCATCTACAAGGAGCTCATGAGCAAAAGCTCGTTTATCAGGATCCGGTTCAAAGCATCGCAGTATGAATGACTTGGCTTCTGCAGACATGGACTCAGGAATCTCTGGGTGGATTTTAAACATTCCCACCTGGCACAAATAAAGGGGGAGGAAAAAAAAAAACAACAATGACTTGCATTATTATTTTCCCTAATACTAAATAACATCCTGAGGGTGGTGAGAAGCTGGAACACGTTGCCCAGTAAGGTTGTGAATGCCCCCCTCCCTGGAAGCATTCAAGTCCAGGCTAGATGGGGCTTTGAGCAACCTGGTCTAGAGGGAGGTGTCCCTGTCCATAGCAGGGGATTGAAATTAGATGACCTTAAAGGTCCCTTCCAATCTAAATCATTCTATGATTTTATGATCAAAATGTTTTTCAATGGTAAAAGTGGTATATTGAGTTTTCATATTATCTTTGTGTAAGTACTTAATTAATTCAAGGAAGAAAATTACTACAAACTATGTGATTATTCAGTTACATTAAAAAATACAATTCCCAAGAAAGGCTTTTGCAAAGCAGGGAATTTGGAACTGCTTTTCTCAGCCTTTTTGTGTGTGTGTGTGAATAGCTGTTACTGCTCCATTACTGTCTTCAAAACTACCCCACACTCGCTCTCAGATGAATCAGCTCATTCTTCTTAGCATCCTCATTACCCAAGTATTTCCTTTATCTTTTTTTCCTTCCAATTCCAGCCTTTCCAAAACAGTCACAAGATTTCCTGTGTTTATAAAAACCAGCGTGTGATGTACAAGGGAGATGTCTGACCTTAAACATAGCTGCTTGTGGTTCTCCCAGTTCATAAAACGGGGGTTTCCCTGTAGCCATCTCAATTATAGTGCATCCCAAAGACCAGATGTCCGCAGCCTTCCCATAACCACGTGGCCCTTTGTCAATTATTTCTGGTGCCATATATTGAAGGGTACCTGTTTAAAACACATCCATCTTTGTTATTTAGGTGCATGAGAAATACAAATATCTTCATAAGACAAGCAAAATAAAAGGGCAGTGAATTATATCAGGAGAGTTAACAGAAGTACTTTATTGTTCAAAATAAGAATTAGAAGTTTCCAGCTGCATTCGACATGAAACTTAAAATACTATTGAAAGTAATATTTTGTTACTTGTGCTAAAAGCATCTGATATCATGTACTAATCTGACAAAATCTCTTTTCAATGTCCACAAAGATTATAGATTATATATATATATATATATATTCTTTTTTTTTTACTCTGTTATATATGTAGATTAAGAGTAAAATAAGGAAGATTACTCTGAATTGAGTAGTAGGGAATTGAGCATGCATTATGAACACTTGTTCTGAAGGGAATCACCCTGACAGCATTCTGCATTCTGTTCTATTTAGAACAGAAATTTAACAAGGAAAAGAATTAAAATAAGGGTATTTTTCATCTGGAACAACCATTTAAATCCTGCAGTGGCACTACAGTAAATCCAAATTGAATTATCAGGCAGAAAGAGGATTAAGTTAATGACAGGCCTTGTACTAGATGCCAGGATATACAGCCCAGCAACAGAAGGAAAAAAATGTTAGCCCTAGGTCAGTACAAGAAGCCACGTGCACAGAAGAGACACTCAAATATAACACAGGAAAGACAGTGCTCTTCTGTTGTAGAAGAATTCTGTGTCTCAAACTGAACTTTTAAAACAGTATTCTCTCTGAACAGCGCACAGCTCACGATTAAGTATACCTTAAATGAGCATGTTCTAGCAGTGACCTTTCATATTGATCTTAAGTCAATGAAAGTTAAGTAGCTATGGAATCTGACCCTATGCCCACAGTTGGAGTGAGGAAAGAATCACTTCTGGAAACATACCAGTGAAAGTTTCAGTACAAGGGTTGATTCCTGCAAGTCTCTTTGAAGTTCCAAAGTCTGAAATTTTTAACACTCCACTGTAAGTGTTGATAAGCACGTTGTCACCCTGAGGAACAAAACAGAGCAATTATTTTTTTCTATTCGTCTCAAGACTTCTTGCATTACCTATTTCTAGAATGCACTCTTTTGTAAGCAACAATTACTTCCTCAGGCTCTTTAGCATATGATGAATGAGTAATCAATTGCAAACCTGCCTTATGTAATGCCATTATCAGAAACTTCATTGCAAAGTGAACCTCTCCATCTACAAGAATCCATTTAAATAGTATATGACAAACATCTTAAAAGAAAAAAAAAGAAAAAACAACAAAAAAACACAACCTTTAAAAGTCTAAAATCTCCTTGGAAAATAAGCTGCTGATATCCTCACTCACAATCTTTGTCATTTCTGATATGTTTGTATGAAAGCTCAATCATATCATTGAAAACAGAAGCAAAAATACATGCTTTCCCCCATTTGATGCATCTCTGTCAGTTTTCCTAAACAAAACAAAACACTTTGTTCGTGCAGATTTGAATTACAACAGCTCACTTACCTAACCCATGGAATAACAGAGAAGGTCTGTGACAATGAATAGCTTTCAGGAAAAAGCTTTTAAATTACAGAACAAATAAATAGGTTATATCGTTGCACGACAAGGCTTAATCTCAGCAAATGCTCACCTTTATGTCTCGATGCACTATTTGATTATCATGGAGGTATTTTAATCCTTCGAGAATCTGCTTAGTGTAAAAGCCAATTGTTTGCTCATTATTTTTTAATGGTCCCCATTTTGATCGTAGAAGAGCAGAAAGACTGCCTATAATTTTGGAGAGGGAGAAAATGAGAGTAAGCCCAAATTAAACCCTATCTTTTTCCCCAAAGGAAAAATAAAGTAACAAGAAGCAATCCCCAAACAAGTGTAGGTACCTCTTCTATAACCAAAGGCCTCTCCTGGAAATACTTTCTTTCATCATCACCTGCCTCACTAATTAAAGAGAGAGTAAGTATCTCCACAGGCCTTGGCTGCAGCACAGAAATACATACTCTCTCAAGCAGGTAGACTGCAAACTGTGTAATGAACATGCTCATCTCTCTCTTATGCCTGGGGAGAAGTTGCTCAAGAGGTATGTCATGAAAGGGCAAACACCTTTTTACATATGCAGAATCCACAGCTTCTCAAAAAGCCAAATCTAGTAAAAGAGGTTTTTATTATGTCTGGCTGCTGTAGGTTCTTCCTTATCAAACAGAAGCAACAATCACCAGCCACAATCCTCTTGTATTCCACATCTGAAGGGAGCTCAGCTATCTAAGACGAACTACATAAAGCATTCCTTAGTAGGGTGGCTGCTGATCCCCTGCCACAGCAATGATCTGAGCTGTATCTGAAGCATGTCCTACCTAAACCCTAATCAAGAGGATTCAATTGCTTTGAAAACCCTTACAGGTTTTTTTCCTCATTAATTCAAGAAAGAGATACTAAAGGACATTTCATGGAAATACGGTGCATCTTATTGCAGTGTGATGGTTCTCTTATTTTTAAAATCTTAAGAAACAAACCAGGTACCAAGCCAGCCTCCACAACTTACCACCAGGCACCTGCTCCATGAATATCTTAATGAAACCATTCTCGCTAAGAGACCCCAAATACTGGACAATGTTCTTGTGTTTGAGATGCTTATGCAAAGCTATTTCTTCATGCAGAGGTTGTGAGTATCTAGAAAGAAATTAAGCAATTTACACAACATTGAACTTCAGGAAGAAAGTCGTGAGCTTAATGTAGCTGTTTAGTTCTATTTTAGGTCTGGGAAACATATTTACTCTGATGTACTAAGAATACAATATTATCTGTTAAACACATTTGACGTTGGTGGTTATAAACACTACAGAGTAAAAAAAATAATAATTCACACAGTTTTTTTGTAAAATCAGTTCCACTTAGAAAAAAAAAATCATGTTTAGACTCCTCAAAATTTTTGTGGAAATCATATATTCAAGAAGCCACATACAACAAACTTCAAGATATACAAGTGCAATGGGGATCACACATCTGGCCTTTACATGGTAACTTTTATAAATGAGGTGGGGTATTATAGGTACAAAGTCACTGTGTTACCAAGTGTGGGCAAAAAGATCATTCCACTTTTGATTCTAGTGTTAAGAAGCTCTCTTACAAAACATGCACAAACAGCAAAAGAAAATGTCTTTATCAACAATTCAGGATCAAAGTTTAAAAGAATTCTGCCAATTATGAAATTCAAAAGTTCTCTTATAAGAACATGCTTATACACGTAAAGAAAATGGGGCTCCCATAAAGCATTTGAGTGAGGTTCTGTTTTACAACATTTCTTTTGGAAAGAAAAAAATGTTACAAACCACACGTGCCAAAACCAGAAAGCAAATTCTCAGTTGTTTCAATCATAAACCATTCCACAATTTGGATATGTCTACTTAGAGAGGTAGGGAATATCATTTCGTACCACAATTTATTGGCAGCACTGTAGATAAGATACTTCTTGATCAGCAAACTGGTTCACTCAATTGCTTAATGAGAGCACATGATGAACAAAATTTGGAACGGGACTCAGTTACTGTACCTGCTATCTCTCTCTGGGATTTCTTTAATAGCAATTCTGACTTGATTGCTCAAATCTCGTCCTGCATACACAATGCCATAAGTTCCTTTCCCCAGAACGACTCGCTCGCCATTTTCATCATAGTCATAGTCATACTGAAAACAAAACAAACACTTCAATTAAATGAAACAGAGGGATAAGATTTAATTAATCTGACTCTATGCACAACAAAGGCATCTAGCATACTAGTTCCTTTCTATGGACCATGGAGAAGTGGAAAACACTTCAAGAAGGCAACTTGGATACCATACCAACATGCTTATCTCTCACGACTGAATTTATGGAAAGCCTCAGTTTCTAAGGCAGCCATTCCAGGAAAGTGCAAAAAGCTGAGCTAGTTGTTACCTGTTCTGTGTAGTTACACTCATACCTTTTAATAGCACCTGCAATTCTGCTGGCAGACCATGAAAAGGCAACAGAAAACGACAGAGGGCACTCTGCACCCAGCTGAAAACTTCAGCTTCCACAGACACACAAAACAAGGCAGGACACAGTTTATCCCAGATGCTATCTTGACCTGACCACATCTTCCAAAACCAACAAAACTAACCTGGCCAGGTCAGACAGCAAAGTATGCCAATGAAGGTTAGTCAGTATTGCAGTGCATAGTTACACGGTTTCAGCTGAATTAAAATTTCAAAGAGTTTAAGGACATCCAGAAATAGTCATTCAATTATCTCATCTGTCCTCTTGTGTAACACAGACATAATTTCACTTCCTTGCTCTCATGTTTAGCCCAGGAGCTTATGCTGAGATACAGAGAATCTGCTACTTCTTTTAGTAATGTTTGAACAGTTAATTACTCTCAGGGTGAAGTCATGCCTCTGATTCTAACTTATTTCTTTATTTCAATATATTTTTCTTTACTAAAGAGCGTATTCATATTCAGTAGTTTTCCTTATAAAGATACTTACACCCTGTAAACATATGACCCTCTGCTTTTTTTCTTGCTAAAATAAACCTATTAGGTACCCACAGTTTCTCATTTTGGGGTGTTTTACTATTCCACAACCCTCTCTAGAGGTTTCTGTTTGTCCCATCTCGAATTTCAGATGTATTATGAAAACACCAACATGAAAACTGGGACAGAGAGCTGGATTCATTATACAATACTGACTTTTTCAGTTAGTTCTGGTTGTCTCTAGAACTTTGGTACACAGTCCTAAATATCTTGCCCTGTTTCCTGCCACCTAAAAGACTGTCTAAACACCAAGTACTGCATTACGCCTAATGGCTTTCTATTCACTTCTCAACTATGTGTATGATCACAGAGAAAATCAAGGTGAGAATACAGTGAGTAATAGCATACATGTGCAAGCTGTAACTTAGCTAATGTATGACAGCAGGAGCAGGGCATTCCTGGATGCATTCAAGACCAGGCTGGATGTGGCTCTGGGCAGACTAGTCTAGTGGTTGGCAACCCTGTCCAGGGCAGGGGGGTTGAAACAAGATGATCTTTGAGGTCCTTTTCAACTCAGGCCATTCTATGATTCCATGATTCTATGATTCTAAGATTCAGTATGCATTATAGAGCTAAGGGAAGAATGACTGACTCCCAGCAGCACACCAACACGATCATCCGATTTGTTTTTCGTTGTCATGTTTGCCCACACGTATTGTAACTAGCATGCACAAGCCTTCCCCTACCACAATTACATCCTTGTTTGTTGTGCAGATGTCCTGCCAATAACGTAATCGTACACAACTGCAACGATGCATGAAATAGACAACAACCTTTCAAATTTAAACAGATGTTAATATTGCCTGACTGTGACTACACCCTAAAGTAACTATAGCAAGAAACACTCTGTAATAATGTGCAATTACTGAGAACTTGGATTGAGTACTTCCTCAAGCAAGTATGATAACTGAAATACAAGTTGGTTATAAAACCTAGAAATGAACATTAAGACAAATCATTAACTTATAAACATTAGATGACAAAATTTTGTCAACTGTATTTTTGTCCGACTTCTTCCAGTGAAGGGATGAGTAATTTTACTCCCTTCAGTCAAACTACTAGAAACTCAAAATAGTTGAAATGATGCTTTGAAAATAAGCTAAAATAAATAACTACCTCCAGGGAGTCTCCATCACATTCTCCTTCCTCTGTAGACTTCCCTATTTCTTCAGTGATGCTGTTGACCATGTCAAAAAACCTTTTGAAAGCAAGTAAAAGAAAATTTAAAAAAATGCAACCACATAGTCAAGACTGCATTGGGATGACGAGAATGCATCTCACTAAAACGTTGAGTAAACCAGAAGATTTCAGTAAGCAAAAATTGAGTGTAAAAGTTAGCTTGTCTGTAAAATAAATAAATAAATGAATAAAAAGAAGAAAGGTACTACTATTACTTATGGCTTTTTCTTCTTTGAAAGCACACTTCTTACTTATCTTCCCAGTAATGACAAAATATGAACGGGAAGAAAAACGTTAGAAGAACCTATGCAGACTAGATCTGATGAGAAGACAAGGTAGGGACTAATCTTTGAGGTAGACATGTTCATTACCATGAAGCGACACACTAATTTTCAGTAAAGTTGCAGCCTTTTAAAGTGCAAATATACAAGACACCTTCTCCAGGAATGCTTTCTGGACCAATTCAAGACTTTAGAACTCAAGCTCTCAGAGCAGAAGCACAGCTTAGAGCAGGTAAGAAACCACTAATTTTGTGCAACAAACATTTGCCAACTTTGTTGGAGGGCTATTTATCCAACCATACTTATGTAGTCATGATAGTAACATACAGAACATCAAGGTTGTCTGTAATGAGAAATAAAATTTTAAGTACAATAAAGCAAAAACCTTCACTCCTGGATCATTATTACCCCAAGTATTGCCACTGCAGAAAATCTATTTGTAAGTTTAGGCTGCTTTGTTCAACTGGGGACAACACATACTTGTAATAAGCCTTAGTATGACAAATAAAGAGAAGTAATACCTCAAGATTAGTTTAAAAAAAGTTTGTAATTGTGCATTTCTAATATTTGGCTTAATTTGTGCTTTGACCCTCCAAAATTCGTGCATCTCTGGAGGAGTACTATGCTTTCACATAAAAGATGTGGAGCATCCTCACTTGTCACCAACTCCAACCACAGTTCTGAGACAGACCCTGCTGTACATGCAGACACCGCGTACCTCAGCATAGAGTGGTTTTTGAAATAACTGTGACACACCTTCTACAATGAACTTCCGTGCAGAAATAGATTTGAAAGTCATCAGAATTGTGCAGCACATACAGAAAACAGCACCGTTCTTCAAACTTCGAAATGCTGAAACAGCCAAGCAGAACATGTTATTGGAAAAGCGCATCTGGGGTTCTGCCACCTATGTCAAATCATACAAATCAACACAAGTATTGTCAGAAAGCACCAGATAAAACATGAAAAACCACAGTCTTTCCTTGCAATGAAATCACATTCTTAAATCCTTCAAAGTTCACATTCAGCTGTCTGCTGTCATTCATTTTGTCCCCTAGTTTCATACATTGCACTCACAAAAGTAGGAACAAAAGTTCCACCCAGGCTGGAACTTTTTGAGACTTTGAGAAACCTGGCTTAGAGAGAGATGTCTCTGCCTATAGCAGAGGGGTTGGAACTAGATGACCTTAGATTTGTCTTCAAACCCAAACCATTCTATGTCTCTTTGATAAATTAACAGGATTATTTCTATTGACATGAGACTTTTTTTTTTTTTTCCAGTACTTTTAGGTAAATGCTGATCTCGAAGCCAAGATGAAAAAATCACATCAGGATCACATTAGAAAGCTTTGAACTCAAATCACGAATTCCTTCCCTTTTAGAAATCAGTCACAGATCACTCCTGAATGTGAAGATTTCTGATCAATTCCTTAGGAATTGGTAAATTGATAGTATAATGGAAAAATATGTCCAAATTAGGTCAGCATCATAAATAAAATAGAAATGAGACAAACGACTTTGTCAATCTTGCCTACCCCCCTTCTTCACTTTTGCTTTTCCCTGTTACAAATGGGAGTACAAATATAACGAAGAGATATGCATGCCATTTTCTTATGAATGCATAGATGCTTCAGCAGAAGAGCAGAAGAGGTACAGACTCTGGGACTCTGGCACAACTGTCAATTTTCTACCTAATGTAGGCCGCAGCTTTTGCAAGATATCCATTTACTAGATTATTATTATTTTTTTTCAAACATACATGTAATTATTGTGCTCCTTAAAGGAAATATTAAAAATTATTTGAAACTAGAACAAATTAAGACTGCATATTATCATTCTCAAGATACAATACAAAAGCCATGTTGCCAATGAAATCAACCTATTTTTAGTCAGATCAAGATATCTGTTGTGGTTTTAAATTATTTATTTATGCAAAATAAAGCAGAATGGTAATCTATACTGCGCCAAAGATTTTTTTCTTAGATGTCAGGAAATATTTGTAATTTTCAAGATTTAATACATCTATGGTTGCCTGATTGCTGATTCCCTTTTATGACTCCCCTGCTTTACATCCCTTGCATGAGCCATTGATAAAGAAACTGCTCTTCTGACAAATTGGAGACATGCATTTCAAAAAGCTACTTATGACAAGACAAATTGATGACTACTTCGGTATGGTCACTTAAGGTGTTGTCACTCAGCTATTTTTGTCAAGAAAAATTCCTATGTGCTAAGTGATCTGGAAAGACAGTCATTGGCCCTGGCTTAATTTACCAAATTTTTCAAGAATATACACAAACTCTACAGATATGGAGTTATTCCTGTTGATATTACTAATTCATCAGAAGTTCCAGGAGAATGGAAACATTTTACTAACCCAACATGTACAAAAGCCACTTAAGACAGTACTGAATAAATGGGTAAGAACGTAGCATGTACACTAAGGTCAGGTAAATTCATACAGGTATAAGGCCTTTAATATTGAATAATTATAAATGTTTATATGCATTGTTTTCCTCCCTGAAAAAAAAGTTATTAACATGAAGAAAGGAAGACAAAAAGTACCAAGCTATAAAAAGAAAATGGATAAATTTTCTCAGGAAACATCTCATTTTCAGAGTTATTGAGCGTGTCTAACACTCACCAACTTCTGTGACAGCAGAATTGGAGCTGAAATTGCAAAGTTTCAAAAGACAAGCAGGGAAACACAATGCAACATGGCCTTGTGCCCAAATCACGTGTATACAGAACTCCCATTAGGTGATGACAAATACTGCAAATCCTGTAACTACTGCTTCCTGACAATTCTAGATGAAGTAACAGATAAAACAAGCATTGACAGAAACCACAGAAACGCAGCTTCGCAGATTTCTATTTTCTAGAAATGAGGAAAGAGACACCTTCCACTCTAACAACTAAGTAGCCTGACAAGATTCCAAGTTCTGTGAAGTCAGGATGGAAAATTAACATCCTTGTTAATTCTTAAACTATGGGGAAAAAAATAAAAAGTCACTGTGTTTCTAATGCAACATCTATCATCACGATCCCTGAGGCACTCTCCCATGGAAACAACACAAGTAGCAGATATTTCACAGCTCAGGGCTTGTCCTGAATATCAAGGAGATTCCAAGTTGTAGTCCATCTACCAGTTTAATCCTGCAACTCAGGTTTTCATTTTTAAACATGAAAAATAGATGGCATCTTCTTGTTTATGTGACAAATACTAGGGAGTTTCCTTGATAACTGGAGAAAGCGATGCAAAGCACCGTGGGGAAGCAGCTGGGGTCCAAAAGCTCTGGTGAAGCCTTTAAAGATTAACAGTACTTCTTGGCCCAGTTCAATAATAAACACTTGCAACAAGGCAAAAAATGAAAGCAGAGTTGTTTATGTTAAAACACAAATTCTAATCAGTGACAGTTTAAGTTTGTATTATTATCATTATTTTTTAAGATAAACTCAGTAACAATGATTTCCTGCAGGCAGAGTGCGATTCAGCACTATGTTCAAGTTCCTTTGAAACTCCTGAGCGCTAAACTCCATTACTCATGAAATGAGATGCTGACTGCACTGGTTGATAAAGAGGACACAGAATAAGTGACCTCTCAATTGTTTACTTAAAGTATTTACCTAAAAAATTAGTCATTTCACTGCCAGATATCTCTTGGCAACATGGCTGAAGAGACAGTAAATATTTAGAAGGGTCTTTGTTGAGAAAGCTTTCAGGAACATGTACAAAGACTCTCTTACATTAACACTGTGCTTTTAAAGCTGGTTCTTAGTCTAGAAAGGCAAAAAATCCTCAAGGGGCAGGGAATTTCCCTTCCTAGACAGCTTTACATCTAGGGCTTCGAAGGAGTAAAAACTATTCTGGATACAAAAATAAATTAGAAGCAGGTCTGGTTCTGAAGGATGTTTCACCCACAAAAATATCTACACTGATAAAGCCAGGAAGAAAATCGTATAAAAATACTGAAAAAGACAACAACCAGAAAACTGCATGTTTGAAAAATAGATTTACTTAGTTTTACAACTGTGTAAGATGAAAGATTTCCCCCTTCAGGTCCTCACGGAGGCAGCCACTGAGTCTTCTAAGAATTCACTCTTGGCTCGATTGACTCACTTTACGGTTTTCCAAGGGCAGATGAACAGATTGCAGACAAATTAAATGACTATTGACAGTTTAAATAACGAATGAGGGAGAGTACACCAAAACAACACTAACCACAGCAGAGTTTAATAAAGCCAAAAAATATATCAAAATTGAGCAATAAATAAATTCATTCTTTTTTTAGAAGCACACAAAAACATGCTGTAACCAAAACCCAAACCACACTGAACTATGCATATCATTGCAATTTTGGCTTAAAATAAACTGAATCCCACAGGATTAAATTTCTGCGTCTATTGATAGTTTGTTTTTTTAAGTTAGTTGTTGGAAGGAAAAAGAATCATCCATCTGTGCAAAAATGTACTGCAGACATAGCAACAGCTTTGTGTGTATGGAACAGTTATTCTTAGAACAGAGCAGTGACTATTTTGAAGAATATACGATTTCTGGCCTTTTTAAAATTACTCTAAATGCAAACTCCAAAATGGAAAGCCACAGGAAGCCCAAGTATAGACAGATCCTAGAAAAAATAAACAAGGCTAAGGTGAAGATCTGATCTAAAGAGATCACAGAAGCAGAACACTACTTTCTTAGTATCAGCAGATACAAATCGCAAGGCTGGACCCTATCAGACAGAAGTGAATATTGCATTCAGTTTGGGCTCACTTCATGATCTATCCACCACTCTGCTGCACTCTGTCATCGCTGCAGGGACAGTCTGCCCTTCCTATTGGCCTTCTCTGAAACAGTTTTGCTGCCATACCTATAAGCAAACACACAAAAGAGAAAACCACACACATCCACACGAAAACCCAACAAGAGATGAGCAATCGGGATACTTCAAGACACACTAACTTGTCCCCCACCCACAAAACTTTGTTGATTCCTCATATCCTTCCTGCTTGCTTCCGTATTACTTCTTGGCTTATATACTGTAGTGGTCAATCACCTGTTTCAAGGACTGCCTTCCTTGTGTAAACAGTTTCCCAGTCAGAATCTCAGTGCACGACTGCATCTCATGGATGAGATACAACTCAAGCAAGATGACACGAAACGTTAGCAGTTATTGCAATTCAACCTCAGTTAGCATAAAGCTGTAACAAACTTTGAGAAAGCAGCAGTTCATAAATCTAAGGGATTATATTCTCTAGTTTTACATAACAAACTTTGCAGGTGGTCATTTCTGAATCCAGAGTAAGACTCTTGCGGTGTCACACAAAGCAGGGCATCTCCAGAAGTACTTGAAATATTCAGCTCCAACATTCTGTCTGCTACTCACCAAGTTTCACAGAATCAGTTCAACATGATACTCAATTACTCTTTTCATTTCCAAGCACGAAGGGCAAACAACTTACCTTACTCCCCTGATGGACGCTGCACTGAAGTTCCACTCATGGATACCTTTCTGTAACACAAGAAAAAACAAAGCTAAATGAAACCCTCTTCCTTTCTGAAAACAAAGAGCCAGTAGGCATATCTTCTCACCTGTAACTCAAGAGACCAGAAGAGAAACATTTAGATTATAACAGCCTACTACATTTCAACAGTTATTCTTCAGGGCATTTTTTTCATCTAAAAAGCAAGTAAAGATCTACAGAGAAGGTTTGGCTGGTTTGTTCCTTCACTGTTTATTCTGCAAACACAATATATTATTTTAGAAAGAAAGTAAACTAGCAGATCAGAAGGGTGTGCCCGTATAGTCTGTCCTGGGTGCTGAACTCAGCTTCGTGTGCAACTTTCCAGAAAGAGGGAAAAAAAATCCACCTCTGAGAATGACAAGAGCTCATTCTAGATATTCAGCGTCCTCTGTGTACAGGAATAATTGGCTGAGAGCACTACAAAGCAGGAAGTCTGACTGATGTTGGAGAATAAAATGGGAAATTCTTGAAATGGAGGTGCAATTGCTCAAGGAAGGGGCAAATCTAAAGGCCAGCTGTCCAAAGAAACAAAACGGAGACCATTTCCCTAGGAATCCAGAAGAGAGAATTAGGAATGTACTAAAATCCCTAAGAGCTGCTGAAGTAGTAAACAAGACTGAAAGACACCCTATACTCCCAGGGCCAGGCCTCATTTATTTTCAGATCTTTCACTTGTTGATCTGTCACACATGGCAGAACTGAGCTCTCTCATCAGCAGATAGCCACGTTGATCTGTGTTTAAGTTCCAATAAAGCTTTACTGTAGAAATCAGAACTCCTTCATATCTTTGATTAAAACATTCACCTTTCAGGAAAATGTGGAGCTACATCAGCTGGAAGTGCTGGCAACCTTAGGACCCACCCCATATTTGAAGAAATTGGTTTCCAGAGCTGAACTGCATTGAGCATTTTAGTCACCTGGGCAATAAAAAGGTATAGAAACATTTCCAGCCAAAAGGCAATTTATAGCATAAGGGCATAGTGTCAAACGCAGACATAATCAAGTCTATCCCAAAAGAAGCATTGCATATACCACATTTTATATATCACATTTTAGGAATGGTAAAGTACACAGAATAGATGCACTGCCAAAACAGTCACACAATATGCAAGAAGTGAGACAGGAAATCAAACTCTCAGCTACAGCAGTTCTGTAAGGCTTACCAGATCAGTCTTCTTTATCTCTGTAATTCTTTCCTTCCTGCTCAAATTTCATTAAAGAGGTTGCAAGGCTAATACAAAACGCCAAACACAACATACTGATAAATACGTGCAAACTTCACATTGCTCTAACTGTAAAGCACAAAGCAGTAACTACAGTAACCTTTCAATCTGAAATGAACCAGTGCTAGTATGAAGTGCCTGTGGAAGTACTATTCAAGTTGCCTGGTTCTCCTATATGAACTATCCCCAGCTAAATCCCTCTGCTATCAAAGAGGGTGCATCTGTATTCTTCTTTTATGCTTTACACTGTATACGAGCTCTGCTACTTCTCAATTTTCCATGTCTGGAAACTCTTTTTCCAGAGTTTTGCTATTGATATTTGTCTAATTCCCAGCACTGAGAATACCATAATATCTAAATGATCTAAACCAAACATCCTGCAAGCAGAAACTTGCAAGCAGAAACGTGCAAGAAACATAGCAAGAAGCAAAGTACTGTGGGCTTTACGTATAATCAACATGCAATTGATTTCTCAGAGATTAATATATCTTTCATTTACCAAATGATATTTTCAGGCAATGAAATAATATAAAAGTTATGTCCCTCAAAGATCGTGCCAAGTTTTGAATACATTGGAGTAAACATATCAGGCACGCTATCCAAATTCAGCATCTGTTCTTGGGTTAGGCAAAAAAACCACCAACCACCCAAAACAAACCTCAAAATGGTTTCAGAAGCCAACATGGAACAGAGACAGGCTGTTCTATTTCAAACTTGCTAACAGCACTGCTGCATTCCTCTAACCCTATGTGGAAGGGACTGCTAAAATTAGAGAACTGCAGGGCAAAGGTAAAGTGCATTCCGAAAAACGTAATGCCATCTGATTTCTATATGCATTTGTCTATGTAAAACATGGCATTATTAAAGACAGAAATAATAAAATATACTGCTAAAAAAACAGACAAAAAAGAAAGGCTCCGTTATTTATGCTGGTATTCTCCTATTCATTAGGAAATTGCCAGCTGCAGGCTCAAACAAGTTACATTTTGCATCTGAAGCAGAATTTCAGCTTCTATGTGCATGAAAGAAAGTTCATATGCTCGATAACGATTCTTATTCTTAAAGCAATGGTTTCATTTTGAAAATTAAGAAAATTTCTTCTTCTTTTTTTTTTTTTTTTATGAACTAAAATCTGAAGCATAAGCTGCTCTAACTCAAACAGAGCTATGCTAGGTAGATTAAATTCATATAGCTGAAGCCATTTCCAAATCCAGCTCTCTCTTCTATCCTTGAAGCTGGGACAGCTGGCCTTTGTTAATCAGCTCCTGCAAGGCCTGTCATCAGCCTAGTAAGGTCCAAAGAAAGAGCCTTCTCCACTGCAGTGGGCTGAAATACATTTATTTACTTCACAAAGTCTCTCAGCGGAGACAAACGCTACACTGGTTATATTCACTGGTTACATTGTACCTTCAAATTTTTCTTGTACCTTTTCTCCATTTGAAGTTTCTGATGGATTCTGATGGTTTTTGACAAAATGTCAACAACAGATTATGACTGTACAGCTGAACTTCTAACCAACAAATTGCCCACTGCATTCTTTTAATAGATGTTATGGCTTGTAGAGCAGAGATGCCTGCACTGCATACCCATCAGCTCCTAACACACTGTCTAAGGTCACTACCGTAAGGCCAGAGCAGAAGAACCAGTGAGTGCATCAAAGACTGTCCTTATCTATTATCTCTGATCATCAGGAGGGCAGCAAATGTAGGAAAACAGCGATGTGCAGAAAATACACAGATGTGCTGCCAAAATCAGGAGGGGGTCAAGGGAAGGAAAGTATTACATGCTAGAATAGAATATCAGGAAAAAAAAAAAGGAATAATAAATTTTTTAAAAAAATGTACAACAGAAACAACACTGTAAAGCATCAGTTGCACTCCAGAAAACCAAAATACTTTTCTGCTGAACAGATACAGACTGAATACAACCAGATCCTTCTCCCAGCCATAGGATGATTAGGCAGTCAAGTGACACAGCTATGGGAAAAGCTGCTACTGAAAGCATTGAGCAAAACATCCCTGTAGCTACAAGGAACATTAACACGCTATCAAATAGCTTTTTAGGAATATGAGTACATATGATCGAGTAAGTGGAATACAAGCAGTGAGATGCCACATGCAGCCAGTACAGCAATCCTACTTGTTTTGCCTAAGGAAAACACTAAGAGATACCAAGATTCTCATCGAAGATACTATCAGGTAAATGGCAAGGAATCATTTAGCATAAGTACAGTGTTAGCAAAAGAAGATGTGAGTATGAACTGGCTACAAATTCAGAGTGAAAGCTCAAAGACCTAAAGTAGCATACTGCTGCTTCATCAGTGGTATTCCACTGCAGGCTTTAGTAGAGGTACGGTGACACACCTAAAACACTTTCCAACGTGAAGAGTCATCTGTGAAACCTAAACTAGTATTCAGACAAAGCTTTATACTATTCAAAAACAGTATATTAAGGGATTCTTCAACAAAGAGGAACATGACTCAATAGCCCAAACACAGGACTAGAAAATCCTGTGTTCCCTCTGACACTGTACAAAAGACCCTAATAGAATATAATACACATATATGAATTACACACAAAAAGCCCACTATATCTACAAATACAGATGTGTGTACCACTAGTTTCTAAACCAACTGAATTCTAAATACAAAAGTACTTTCAGAACACATATTTTACAACAGTAAGATTTACTCTGTCGTACTGATACAAATTATTATTCATTATGTGGTTAACTCTGTTTTTTCTCTGGAAATTGCATAAATTTATCTTCTAACTTTATTTTCACAGTCTGAACCTACCTGCAAAAATGTAGGTCAGAATAAACCACAGATGAACAGAAACTCATTGTTCTAGACAAACATTTCAGTTTGTTCCCAAAATACAAACATTTCAGCCACTGCTCAGTTATGTTCCTTCATGAACTTTTAACAGAAATTCTAATTAGTGCTGCCTCATGTAGTCTGCATAGAAAAAATGCTTTCTCTTAAAAGCACAAGTATAAAAGCTGAAGAATGGATCACTTAGCAAATAGGTCCTTTGCTGTCCTGTCTTGCAAGGATGCTGCCACAGAAGAACGAGCAGTGCTAGTTCTTAGAAAACACACTACCTTCAGTGTTCTGTTTCCAGCTGATTTGGCCTCTATTAATTCTTCATATAACCCTCCCATGTTTCCATGCTCCCTTCCTTCTCTATGGTCTTAAAAATGTGCTCCCTGTCTTCACTCTTACGAACATTTTTCTTCCTAAGCATCCCAGAACACAATCACAGAATCACAAAATTATAGGGGTTGGAAGGGACCTTTAGAGATCACCGTGCCCAGCTTCCATGAATGGTGATAACCATTCAATACTTTCCTCTCCTCTTGCATCTCTGGAATTTCTAAACATCTTTCCAAATCTGTAAGGCTTTCTCACACCTCAAGTACTTCTCAGCTTTTCCATTTGCAGTACCTCCTGAGCATCTATCTGTCCTTACGCCAAAAAGATTCTTTGCCTCTTGATTTATTTCACTACCATTTTAGGACACACCAGCCTCTAATATTTTCATATTAAGAGTATTTACCACAGCAGACAAGCAATACAGTGAGTAAGGGAAGAAGAAAGTTTTGTGTACATACACATTATGTGACATCATTTGTACAATGACACAGTATTGCACGTTATTTACAAAGTCTCAAGCAACAGATTTGTTCATATTAAAAACAATCTGGAAGAAGCTGCATGTTGTTTTTAAACATGGTGGATGTGGAAGATCCATTAAGTAACAGGACAAATTCTAAAGAAAAAATTAAGAACGGTCTGTTTAAAACAAAAAACACATGACAATGTCTGGGCAAAGCATCTTCACATATGCTAAAAATATACCCTCTCCCTCACAGAATCTGACATTAGATACAACTGCTTGCATGTTATATGCCCTACAAGCCATGCACTTTTAAATTGTGAAAGAAGTTACAACTACAGAAAACATCATAGTACCTTGTCATCAGGCATCACGTGCCAGATAGATACAGTCTTCTCCTCAGCTTCGCTGTTGATGGAGAGATATGAGGGCTGATAGATTTTGGTTGGTTCCAATATTAAAACCTTGTAGGAAAAAAAAAAATCTTAAGAGTTAGTACAAAATAAGTAAAACATAGGAAATCTATACTAAAAATCTATTAAAACTTTATCTGTAGTCATATCATAGCAGGAAAAAAAAGTAAGTAAACAGGATGCACGATAAGACTTTTAGCTACTGGGCTAGTTTGCTGTGGTTCGCAGTAACTTAAGATAAAGAAAGCATCAATTTTCTTTTTTTAAATTATATGTCACTCAATTGTATATATCTTAAATTCCAAATAATTGCTCTGACACCTATCACATTTTGAAATCCTTCTATCACAAGTCCTCCTTTTACAATGCCAGTTGAGAACGTCCATATTCAATGTAGACAGGATTCAGGGTGTAACTTAATTATCTTTTAGCAAAGTGCATTTGGCTAAAATAGAAAAACATATCAATCTAGAATTAGAATGACCTGCTTTTGATTTAGACCACTGTGAACCACAGCAGCCAGATTAAATGATTTTTTTTCTCAAAAGCAAGATGCACTTCTACAAAAAGCAGACAATAAAAGTTTACAGAAACTTTCCTGATACAAATACAAAAAACAAAACAAAACAAAACAAACAAACAAAAAAAACCAACCCTAGAATCTTCACGTAAAAGAGATGGGATGCAATGCAGTAAGATTTGGACTGAATATAGCTACTGAGTAGATGAAGCCAACTTGCTACTTCAATAATGTTCTGCCAGAACTATTTCCAGGTCTATACCATTTAAAGGCCAACAAAGCTCAGCTATTTGAAGAAGTATGATTTCTCATTAAAGCTCCTTGTGCCTTTATTTTAGTTTTTCAGTGGTTAAAAAAGTCCCCAATCTTTAGTGCCTGCATAGAAGATCTTTTCATTCTGAAGAATGGGAAACATCGCTATTAATTCAAGAAAAAAGCTACCTTTCACCAAACTAATTTTTGGAGTTTAAAGAATTGCTTTAGAAAGTAATGCTTGGTCTACATCTATGTTTTAGAAAGAAAGCCCATAAAATCAAACATCTAGGGCAGAAAGTCTAGGAAAGACTAATCAGTCAAATCTTAGTCACAGCAACTCCTACAGAGTCAGTGTGCGCATGGACACTTGACACAAGTGCAAGGCCGAAGTCTGAAGAGTATCATGGCATTTAACTGGGTGTCCAAATGTGTCCCCCTGAATTTTCAGACACTTACAAGTTGTTAAAACCTAGTTTAGACCATTTCATGAACTGGTGTCTTATCCTCAGTTATCCCAAAGTTACCCACAAGCTGCATCACTTCTTCCTCTAATTGCTGCAAAGAGGATTAAGACAATGAGGCCAGCAGCTAGGAGACCAAGTGATAGCTCAGCAACTACCAATTACCAGTGAAGTCCTTAAGTTCAAGCTCTGAGAACTTCTATAACTTTTTGTAGAAGTTTGTAGATGTTATTTGTAAGTGTAAAGATGTTACTATATTTCATTTTGTTGAATTGTTGCACTGTGTGATTTTGCTTTCAAATAGGCACAAGTAAAATCTTTTTATTAGGAGAATCAAGTCTGTCTGCAACACCAGTATAATTTCCTGCCTCAGTCTGTTGCTGTTCAACCCTACCATCTCCTTTATTGTTTATTATCCCATTTACAGCCTGATGTCAGAAGAACTGCACAAAACAAGTATGCCCTTGAAGTACTGGGGAATTAATAGTGAGTACTACTTAAAACAAAAAGATGTATTTGCCAATGGTTAGCTAAAAGGAATACCCAAGACATTATTTTTCCTCCATACATCACTAATATACAGAGGCAACAAAAAACAGCACATTTTATTACACCAGGGTATGTTGTAAAAATCTTTCACCAAAATATTCATGAAAGAAACCATAAAAGTATACATAAGTTATAGTGCAGTGTTGTTGAAATATATTAACAGCTAGAAAAAAAAAATAGATTTCTTGCTGCTTGGTCTGATTTCTAAGCTCTAACAGAACACATGCTTAATAGGCAGCAGGCTATATAAAAAGCCTGTTGAGTCAGAGAGACTGAAATTAAATGTCTTTTCTTCAGAATATAACTTAATATAGTATTACGTGGAATGCACTGCAAAATTCTGCTTTAGAAATATATTCACTGGTAGCAAGCACTAAATAATAAAATAATATCCTGACTTTTTTACAGTATTTTATTGGAACAGATTGTGCAATTGCATTGTAACCATGTGAAATCAATTAAAACCAGTTTAGTATGCAGGCCAAATGCATTTCTTCTGGACAAGCAGTTTTTTTGTCTGGGAACCTACAAACAAGCACTGTTTTGTCTTCATTTCCTACATGTCACAATTAAAAACAAACCAACAAGAAAACACTTACTGGAAATCTAACTACAGACACATCTGTCTTTGTGGCTTCAACAAGGAAGTCCATCCAGAAGTCCACGAGTTCCTGTTTGGCAGTATGTTGTTCAGGATTCAGTTTTTTAAAATGCTGATATATCAAAATAGTCTCTACAATAGACTTCAGGTACCTGTGATCAATAATACAGTATGTAAATAATAATGTCTGTACCTTTAATTCCAACTGAAGCACCCACCACTGCAATGCTAAGGCAGTCAATAAGATTCTGGTTCTCCAGGATTGCTTTCAACAACAGCAGTTCCTCATTTTGTGCTGGAAATGTTGCAGCTATGTTATCAGTCTGAGATCTGGGACAATCCTTCCTGCATATATGCCTGATCACATATGCTGCCTGCTATTCTAAACCATGAAAGCTTCCTGAAATATCTTTGTTTATAGGCTAGCTATATGCAAAAAGAAATAATGCTAACTCAGAGAGCATTTTGAGAGTAGTTCTATAGCTATACATTGCCCAACCCTCCCTCTTTGGTTGAGTGGATATTCTGCATGAAATGCTACATCTACCTTGCACCAGGAGGCTCTGCTGCTGAACAGCAGGCAACAGGCTAAGAAGGAATTGCTCACAGGAGAAATCATTCCTGAAGCACAAACAAGCATGCTGTATTTTCAGAGTTTAATCTGCAGACTTAAACCCCAAAGCACTGGATACATAAAATCCTGACAAACAGGCATTCATAAACTCAAGCAAACCACCAGGAGACTCCCATGGAGTGCTATCCAGCTCCTCATGTACACAGTTTACAAAAAAAAAAGAAAAAACTGCATATAAATACATTGTAAACAGCTTTTATAAGAAAATTGTACGAAAAACAACGTTGTCCATTTCAACAGTTTCTTATGCTATCTCAATATGGGAGTTCAGCATTTCCATATTTTAGCACACCTGCATTCACTTTTGACCAATTTTTGGAGACAGACTTTAGTTCCTTCATAAAAAAGACAAAAAACACAGGCAGCCTTGATTGGCAGAGTGAAAACTTAGGTCAGAAAAGAGTCTCAGATCTCCTCTGCCAAAAGGACCTAGACCTTGATGAGTGGACAACTGGTCCCTACTTCCTGTCTGCATCTGAAGAACATGTCAAATCTAACTCTAGACTTATAACCTTTCCATTAAATGGACTTTAATCTGCATTCTTCTCAATCACAACCAGATGCAACTTGTACAGATTGCTCATTTATATTCAAGTTCATAAAATAGTTGGCACACTCAATGACCATCACAGTATTCCAAGGTTTATCTGTGCTCCTCTAGCCAAGCTGATTGCACTCCTAGGAACACTTGGGCAGTTATGACTAAACTCACATGCTCCTACCACTTCAAATAACTGAAGTACAGTGCCTACAAGCAACTTCTCTCCCCTTACCCTCAGAAGAGGATGGGGTCAATCATAAATCTGCTCTTCTCAGCCCAGCAAAAAAGTCATAACACATATATCCATGAATAAAGGCAGAAGGGGAAGATACCTCCATCAAAGTAAAAGTACAAAGCAAAATCTGTTAGCAAAATACAGTGTTTTAAAAGACATTAACATACACCATCTTTCTTATCACCTTACCATGCTGGTGCCTTTAGCTTAAATAGCTTTTCTGAAGCCTGGATCACTCTTACGTGGTCATTAGCCAACATACTGGCTGCCAAGAAAGATCCCACTTCCCAATAGCTCTGCAGCTTCTCCAAGCTCCCCTTTTTACCAAGCAGGCTGCTGATCTTTACCCCTGTAGTAGAAAGAATAATAGGTCACAGGAACACATCAATGTCATTTTAAAATAGATTATTTCCCTGCTTTGAAATCTATTCATTGCTTAAGTTACTTTATCCTTTCCATTTCAATGAAATAAGATGGAAATTATACTTACCAGTTAATGTTAAATGCCTTCCATACACCCTAGGTTGTAGCAGACTTTTTTTCCCTCCCCCTCTTCCTAAAGACTTCTCAAGAAAGGAACTTTAAGACATCGCTGTCAGGACAAGGCCACAGTCAGATTACCTATGTTCTTGCATGGACCTTATCTGTAAAGGTACATTGGGGCCTTAGGCTACACAAGATAGCTGTAAAAACTTAACAGATGCTGAATAAGGCACCTATTATGTTTTTTTTTCTGCCTTTTTTTTTTTTTTTTTTTTTTTGAGACTTACAAGCCCCAAGCCCCAGACTTACCTTTATAGACAAGGTCCCATGCAGAAGGAACTGATGATCCACTGGCCTTCTTCCAGCAGTGATGTTCATTAATTTGCCGCAAGTCCTACCCCAATGAAAGACATCTATTAATATTCGTAAGCCCCTCAGCAACTCGAGACTATGGAGAGCCTCAGGCCTCATTTTGACTTGCTAAGTTTTCTGAAAACTACAAGTCTCCCTGTGGCCTTTAGGGTGAATTTTAGTTCACAACAACTACTGCAACTACTGCATATTTATAGCTAACACCCCTGAAAATGAAATATTTTCCAGCCTACAGGACAAGCCTTATCACCACAGTAACCTTCTGTTCACTTTCCCCATACTGCTCCACTACGGCAGTTTCCCTCCCAAATCACCTTCTGCCATCCTTGATATCAAAGCTTACTATTCACATGAAGTTTCAATGGAACTGTTGATCTTTTTTTTTTCTCCCCTTCACCTTCATTCAATAGCTAGCAGACTGAACTTCATTCTGAACGCAGCAATAAATCTCATCAAAACAGATATTACTATATTAGCTAAATTTCAGTCAACAAAATCCATATTGTTTTGTCGTGTTGTGTACATTTCTATGTTCTAAATGCTAGACAAAAAATGGATGTAGTTTTGCACTTAAAATACAAGTGTTCTATAGTCTGTTTATATCTGTATTTCACTTCGTGCTCTTGCTAACAAGTTGTCAATGCTGGAGTAACATACAGAATAAAGTAACACTTAAATGTAAGTAAAAGCAGTAGCTGTCTGCTTCTTAGAGAAAAGTTTCTTTATTCTTGAAGAGAAAATATGCAATTTTAAGATTGCAGCCTCCTTTTATTATTTCTCTGGCTTATTTTGATCTCATTATCCTTAAAAGTTTTTAGAAAGTATTAGAACAACCAGGTGAAGACAAGACATTCTCTTTGTTTGCAATAAATCCGGTATTTACAAAAACAACAAAGCATCAGCTAAGCTCCAGAACATTTTATCAAAAACATTTTGCCTTAAAAAGAAATGGGCATAAATACAGAAACCATTACTGTCAGAATGGTCATTAATGCCAGGAATACATCCACAGCTGGAAAGAAAATAATATTCAATAACAAGATATTACCAGTGAAAGATTACTTTGAAAGCTTTATAAATAAACTACCTTCCTTGCTCAAATATTGACAGATCAATTTGTATTATTGGATCTTTTGTGTACTGGAGTTGAACAGCTTGCAGAGATCATTACTGCCAATGCAAAGCACTGTGTTTATGTTTTGGTCTCAAAGTTCTGTGATTTTGTACAGTTAAAACAATACTGTAAAGAAAATACAATGAGTACTTCATTAATGCTTCACTTCATCATTTCATGTGAACTATTATTCTGACAAGTATAGGCAGGAACTCTCAGAAGGCAAATTTTGATCTGATGCAAATGGGTAAAAAGTCTCTTGGTTACTGGAGTTATTACTTTATTCCCAATGTAATTAGATATGCATCTTCTAATTAAGCTTTATGCACCCTCTGAAGTGCTGTTAAGGACTGTATCTTTCCTTAGCTTTTCCTAACCTACTAATATTATTATTTCCATACAATCTGGACTGAAATTCAGCCAGCTTCACCTCTCTCCTTATCTCCCATCAGGAAACAGACTTTCTCTAACATCTATACGTTGTAATAACAGTACAGGAGGATGCCAAGCTAAAAGCACTACTTAGATTTGCTTAGTAGTGCTTTTAGCTTGGCATCCTCCAACAAAGAGGAGAAAGTCTGTTTCCTGATGGGAGATAAGGAGAGAGGTGCTGTTAGTGAATGGCTTTATACACAGATAAATACAAAAAGGTGACATCAAAAGAATGACATAAGCATAAGAGATCTTTGGGACAAGAATAAAAATGTATGTTTCTTTGCAACCTCTGATTTCCCTAATTTTTAGTCAAAATCATTAACATCAGTCCAAGATAAAGGAAATACTAATTTGTCCTCAGAATCTAGCACAATTCAAGTCAGCTGACAAACCTCTTCATATTAACAAGAACCACAGTTTTATCACCAATTACCATTGATCAATGCATAAGGTCTATGAGATAACTGTATTTGAAATAATCTTTCAAAAATTTTTAACAATATTTCTTATAACAAAATAGACTGTAGTAGATCCCTTCCACTGTCTAAAGGTAGCCTACAAGGGCATCAAACTGGAGAGGGACTCTTTATCAGAGGGTGTAATGCCAGGACAAGGAGTAACAGTTTTGAACTAAAAGAAGATAATTTAGATTAGACATAAGGAAGAAATACTTTACTATGCGAGAGGAAGGAGGCCAAGGGGAAGGTGTCTCTACCCACAGTAGGTAGACTGGAGGCAGATGATATTTAAGGTCTCATCCAACTCAACAACTCTATGATCACAGAAGGCACTGTCTTTAAATGGTTCTCAACAGACATCAATTAAATATTTACATAAGAAAGATTGGCACACCAACAGCTTCTAAAGAAAACAAAAGTTCCTTTCTCTCATCCTAAAAAAAAAAAAAACCAAAAAAAAACAAACAAACATCCAAAACTAAATAAATCACTACCCTTCAACCAAACACAGCTACTGGATATTACTCCTCTAAGTAACTCACCAGCCATAAATGGAAACTTAAGTAGGAAGGAACCTTAATTTCTGTACTGTTCTCCACACAAACAGCACAGCAATCACTGCACAAATTCACAAGCAGACATCAAACATCTGATCCCTACAAATAATATTCAGATTTCATCAGTATAATCAGTTGATCCAAATCCAGTCGGCCACAGCCTGCGTGCAATTGAAGTTTCTTTAGAATTGGAGGATTCCATTTAAACTACACAATAAATATAGCTCAGATTCACTAAACTATCCCTAATTTAAAACTATGTCAGCTGAATGAATATTTCCAAAAGCCTCATAGGAAGCAAGATATGCGTGCATATGGGGTTTTTTTTGTTTGTTTGTTTTGTTTTATTTTTTACCACTAAGTACTACATTGCCACAAGAATTAAAATTTCAGCATAGAAGATGAAAGCATTCTATCCAACCCAAAAAGGAAAATTTTGTTCACACACATAAAGGCAAACACAAGGCTGGGGCCTATCACATCCAAATAATCACCTTCCTTAATTCCAGAAAATTTCAATTCCATTTCTATTTTCCACATGAAAGTAATCATCTCTGAGCTTCAAGCTCAAAAAAAAAAATTCTTTATCCAGAAAATTATTTTCAGAGATACTCCACACACCTTACTTATAAACTAGTGCAGAGGCTCATTAAAGATATTCTTTGGAGTAAAGAACAATGCTTCTTTCTCCTCAGGAGACCAAAAGGGGGAGAGAAAAAAAAAAAAAAAAAAAAAGGATTTGCAGTAAGTCAAGAATTACACAAACCTGTGGAGAAAAATGCCAGTTACAAAGTATACGTTAGCAACTATTACAACATTCAGTCATCTCCCTTTTGTGGCTTCCCTGAAAGGATTCCTGGCTAATTTTGACTTTGCCTTCTCTTCAAATACAGCAAAACCACAAATCAAATCACAAAGTGGACCACTTAATACAAAGCTTTAAAAAACCTCAAAAACAGCATCTGAAGTGTGGCTCATTCTTCTCTTAACCCATCCCAATCTCAAGCTAAGTGCATTCTGACCACCCTAAGGAGAGGGTGCTTGTATTTTTTTTTTTTTTTTTGCCCATATTTCCTAGTGTTCCATAGGTATTTTCTGTTTGTTTGCT